CAGAAAGTGAAAGTCTAGTCCAGGGGTCCACAAACATTTTAAACAGAGGGCCAGGTCACAGTCCCTCAAACTGTTGGAAGGCCGGATTATAATTTGAAATAAATGAATGAATATCTTATTTGTAGTGCAAAAACATTTAAAAATACAATAATTAAAATGAACAATTTTAACAAATATAAACTTATTAGTATTTCAATGGGAAGTGTGGGCCTGCTTTTGGCTGATGAGATACCGTTGTTGTTGTTGTTGTTGTTGTTGTTGTGTGCTTTCAAGTCATTTCAGACTTAGGTTGACCCTGAGTGAGGGCCGGGTAAATGACCTTGGAGGGCCGTATCCGGCTCCCGGGCCGTAGTTTGAGGACCTCTAATCTAGTCCATCCTGGAATTTTTTTTAAAAAAAATACCACAATTCCTCTTTATTTTCTCCACTATGGCACTGCTTCCTCCTCCTCTTCAACTTATTAATATTTCTTAAATTGGAATGAGCTTCAAACATATCCATTGGTGAGATCACAATCCATGATTTTGGCCCCAAACCCTGCTCATAACTTATACATGAGTTACTTATATATGGGTTTATGTAGCAATTAACCTGTACTGCATATCCACTCCTGCTTAAGAACATAAACATGTTTTTCAGATTCATACTGACGACCACCTAATCCAGAAAGTGTTTAATCTACTGTATATACTCAAGTATAAGCCTAGYTTTTCARTCCTTTATTTAGGCTGAAAAAGTCTCCCCCGGCTTATACTCGAGTCAGTGTTATTTATTATTTTACTTTGTTGTTGTTGTTGTTGTTATTGTTATTACATTTATTATTTTATTATTGTTATTACATTTATTATTTTACTCTATTTATTGTTATTGTTACATTTATTATTTTACTCTATTATTATTATTATTATTATTTTACTCTATTTATTATTATTAGAGGACATGTAAGCATATTTACATTGAAGAAGGTTTGAATAATGGTTTAATCAGAGTTGGACAGTTRTATTTTGAATTACAGTTTAATGTAAATATTCAAAAACATTTAACCTATTAATGCCTAAATTAATATAATTTTATTGGTATCTATTTTTATTTTGAAATGTACTAGTAGCTGCTGCATTTCCCACCCTTGGCTTATACTCGAGTCAATACACTTTCCCAGTTTTTTGTGGTAAAATTAGGTGCCTCGGCTTATATTCGGGTCGGCTTATACTCGAGTATATATGGTAATTCATTTACTATAGTAGGGACTAACAATTAGTCTTGTGCATTTGTGTATGTTCTTGTTTGGTGCGGGAGACTGTGATGGAGATTCCAGTTTTCTTGTGAACGTTGGCTAGAAGTATTAAAGCTTTTATAACTCCCAATCAGCAACTGGAAGTGTGTTATAAAGCAGTGGGGAACCACTGAAAGAGCCCTTTTGCCTAGCTGTGATAACTGTCTGTTGTTTCAGACATTCATTAATTGCCTCCTTTAGTGCCCAGTGTCAGATTGAGACAGAAAATATATACGCAGCCCTCCCAAACCTGAAGAGACTGCTACGTTTGGGTTTTGTAAGAGAGGGATCTCTGGAGTGAGAAGAACAGATTAGGCGGCAGTGTGTACTAAACAAGCCCCGTATTTCATGCAGTGATTAATATTGCAAGTATTATCTCCATAACCATTAGGACGAGGCATATGTTTTCTAAATGCCTAAAAATGAGCCTGCTGCAAAAGGAAACATAGGAGTTGCCTGGAATCCCACTTTTGCAAGAGATCACAGCCTTCCAAGTCACTCATTTATCTCCGAGTTAGTCTTTTATTTCAACAAATGAATCCTTTCTAAAAACCCTGCCTTTCTAAAATATGACAGAATCCTTCATTTGAATGCCCTTAATTTAGAACTGACAGGTGGGTACACTCATGTGGAGAGAAATGTGAGGAAATGGCAACCTTCCTTTTGTACAAGAAAATAGAAACAATGAATATTAACCTGTCACCAAAATGCTGATAAACAGCTGTTCTCCGCCAGATACAAATCCACTACTTAATCCTTGCCCTGGTTAATTCAATCTTCTGTTTTTTCATTTGATCGAAACGCTTCAGTTCTGGGATTATTTGTGCCAGTTGCAGTAGCGTTCGTCCCATCGACAGGGTTTCTTCTTCAATCCGCGCGTTTTTGGAGCAAGCCATTTTAATCGCAGGCCTGGATAATATTCCTTTCCCCTATTTTAAATTTGTTTAAACAAAGGAGAGTACTGTAGTGATTGTGAATGTGGCAGTGTACGCTGTCGTGCCACACTACGCAAACCGCAGACGCTTTTTTTTCTCCTCGTTGTAGATTTTTGTACTTACATCTGATAGGAGAAATCCCTCATTTTCTTGCTTCTGGTGTTTTCTGTGAAACAATGGTAAAAAGGAGATTGATCAGTGTCCCCCCCCCCCCTTTCTTTTTAGTTTAAGGAGATTGGGCACATCTTTTGCTTTGATCCTTCTCTTGGTTCTGTTCTGCCCTAGATACTGCTGTGTGATGACAATAAGTACGACTTTGTGTTTTCATGTGCTTTTGGGATAATTCTATATAGGTTGGGCATGATCTGGCATCATGGCAAGCCAGGATAATTGAAAATTCTGGCCTACGTTCGCTAATGCATACAGGCCACTAGTCATGGGCCTAGTTATCGTTTCATCCATTTATTTTGTGTTTTCATTCCGTTGTTTTCATTTGAATGGCATGAAACAGTTCAACTCCCCATGGTACGAAAATAATAGTGAATTGAAAAGGAAAGTTGCAACAGTAACTATGTGGTTGCCTGCATTTCAAGCCACGTTGTGTGGCCCAGGGAGTATTTCTATGTTACCTTACCTCTGAGCCCAGTTGGGCCAATCAGAGGAGTAGAATGTAGTGACATGCATTGCTCAGGGTATTGGGGTGACCGCCCCCAAAGTGCTCATTGTGTGATGCGTATCTATTGGTGCTGGAGCTCGCTCTTGTGCCTGCTTGCTTTGCTGCCAGCCAGCCAGCCACAGATTTTTGCCTTAGCTTGGCTCCTTGTACTTGGCTGCTGGCATCTTTTTATTTCTTTATTTTTAAGAAACTGTTGGAGGGCCGGATTATAATTTGAAAAAAAAAATTGAATTTCTATGCACACTGCACAAATATAAAATTATTAGTATTTCAAAGGGAAGTATGGGCCTGCTTGTGGCTGATAAGATAGGATTGTTGTTCTTGTTGTGTGCTTTCAAGTCATTTCAGACTTAGGTTGACCCTGAGTGAGGGCCGGGTAAATGACCTTGGAGGGCTATATCCGGCCCACGGGCCTTAGTTTGGGGACTCCTGGGCTATATGAATGAAACAAACAGAAACAGAGAGTGATTCTATATAAATGCACAAGACTACTGGCCACCAGATTTCTTCCCTTAAAATTATATGTTGCTAAACAAACCTAGGACATTTAATCTGTGGATTGTTTTATGATGTCCAGACCTGAAAGTCTGGCTTGTTTCTCCATTCACAAGCCAGGAAAATATCCCATGGCAAACTGAAGTTCCTCAAGAATTCCAACTTGCTGATGAATGAACCGAGCCTTTATATCAGTAACCCTTAAAACCTTTGTGTAAGGTAGATGAGTATTATTTTCCCCATATTAATAATACTGGCTTGTTAGAGGAGAAACCAGGGATTTTCCCCCTCTGACTTCCATTTTATTCTAGTCACACAACAGCAAATATCTCTGAAATTCACACACCTCATAGGAACTTATGGGTTGAGTCCCTCTCCCAAGCTGTTTTAGCACCAAGAAAGCAGTTTTAGCACCAAGAAAGCAGCACTACCAAGAAGTGCTGTCTTTAGCCTATAAAGCCCTAAACGGTTCCGGTCCGGCTTACCTATCTGAACGTATCTCCCCTTATGAACCATCTAGGACCTTAAGATCGTCTGGGGAGGCTCTGCTCTCGATCCTGCCTTCCTCAGACATACGTTTGGCAGGGACGAGAGACTGGGCCTTCTCAGTGGTGGCTCCTCGGCTATGAAACGCCCTTCCCAGGGATATAAGATCGGCTCCTTCCCTTCTAACATTCCGTAAAAAGGTTAAGACCTGGCTCTTCGAGCAAGCTTTTATTACTGGAGCATAAATAGACAAATATGCATATATGGAACAAACGACAATGCAATTGGACAATGATTTTAGTAAGGAGAGGCCGAGGATTTTGTTTTTATAGGCTGTATTGTTTTTATATCACATTTTAAATATTTAATTGCTTTTATAATTGTTTTAAATGTATCTTTATAATTTGTTATGGCATTGAATTGTTGCTGACTGTGAACTGTCTTGAGTCACCTCTGGCTGAGAAAGGTAAATAACACGGTAAATAAATAAATAAATAAATAAATAAATAAATAACCTAAGCAGAGTGGGGACATTTTGTTTCAAAAGAGTAAACTTTTTTTTGTGCAAAAAATAACTACAAAAATAAACAAACTTGAGGGAACATTAAAAGACCACACCTTGCTCACCCTGGCTTAACATTTCCATATAATACAAGTTGTTGCTTCCCGCCTGCTATATTTATACGATCCTTGGTGCTCTCAAGAGTGGGGCCACTGTATCTCTTTCCTATCACTGTTGGGATCTAGCTGTTTCTTTGAAGAGTTCAGGCTTCCTCTCCCATCTGTTTCTTTCGTTTAGTAAACTCAAGAAAGAAAAGCCATTACCTCCTCATGTGTTCCCATCAGGATTAGTTGTGTCTGCTCTTCCCACTCTTCTATTTAGAGAAACTGCATGATATCTAACTCTGATGGGACTGTGTATTTTGAGTTTTGGGTCACTGAATCTCTTTGAGCTCTGCCTAAATGTATGTGAAGCCTAGAGTGAACAAATTACTGTAGATTAGAAATTTTATACATGGATGTTTCCATGGTGGAATGCCACAAAACTTGCATCACTGTAAGTGAGAAAAGTAAAATATTATTTATTTTGTGTCTCATTGCCACACCTTTTGCCCTCTGCTTTTTCTCCCCACAGCTGCCATGGCAAGGCAGAAGAATGTATTGGCCTCTGCCGTGCTCTGGTAAATATTCTCAATTGGATGCTCCGCTGTGCTACTTTCTACACAGAGAAGATGAAAGAGCCACTGGAGCAAGGCGTTGCAGAGAACCAACTCAAGATGTGCCTGGACCGACTTGTCAAGATCCTGTCCAGCACCAAGAACAGGGCTCTGATTCATATAGCGAAGCTGGAAGAGACACGTATGTAACTGATGCCTTATTATTATTATTATTATTATTATTATTATTATTATTATTTGAAACACAACAAGATGAGTCCACAGCATACACTCTGCTGGCTGTTGAATTGGATCACACGTCGGACACTTATTATTATTATTATTATTATTATTATTATTATTATTAATCACATAAGATGTAAGTTCTAGATTCATGTTCTACAGCTTAGGATTCACTTGCAGCCCTTGATTACGAATATCGTTGTTGAACCCTATTATGCAATCTGATGTAGGACCACACCAGACTCTGCCTACATGGGCTGGCATTGCTGTTTTCTCTTCCAGCAAGTTTTTTTTTTAATTTCCAGCTATCTCTCAACAGAATTAATATTTGCATTTATTTCTTTGCTTTTAAACTTTTAAGGCAGAAATAGTATGCGTTAGATTTTGAGAAAAGCCTGAATTTGAAGAAAGATAATTCTGGAAGCAAAGCATGCATTTATATGTGGATGGTTTTTAATTCAAACTGTTGTACCTCCAGGAAGCAAAGCTAGGAAAGATCTCTATTATAGACTAAGAGCTTTGGTAGTTAAAGACGATCATTGCTTGGGAGATCATTTTGTATTTCTTGAATCTCACAAAACTTGCATCTATGAAGATGTTGACATAGATAAAACATTGCACATAAGATAATTTCCATATTTGTTTCTGATCCTGACCTGTATTGTTTGTGGGTCAGGAAATAAAAGTATTTTGTGTTACTGGACCTTTTCTCTCCCCTACATTTCATTCTGCTGAGTCTCAATCCAGGTCCCTTCTACACAGCTGTATAAAATCCGGATTATCTGCGTTGAACTAGATTAAATGGCAGTGTAGACTCGGATAATCTAGCTCAAAGAAGATAAAGTGAATTATCTGACTTGATATTCTGGATTATATGGCAGTGTAGAAGAGCCCTGAGTTAGTCCCAATTAGAGTTTATCAGTGAGGCTGGATCTACAGTGTCCTATATCTCAGGATCTGATCCCAGATTATCTGGCAGTGGAGACTCATATAATCCAGTGGGGAAAAAAAGATAATATGGGATCAGATCCTGGGCTATAGGACAGTGTAAATCCAGCCTGAGATTATCATTGTTGATTTAGCTGATTCATTTGGGGTAACAGTTGGGTTTAGGCCATTATGTCAGATGTTTACTGTTACATTTCTGGTAATAAACTAGACATAGATTTTAATCTCTACTACTTTTAGCTGAATTGGGAATTACTTGATAAAAATTTAAAACCCCTATTTTTCATCTCCAGCTTCTTGGAATCCAGTTGAACAGTCGCTTGCTAAGTTAGCAGAAAATTTGGGGCACATCAGCAACAATCAGTTGAGAAACCAAGCTGAAGAGTGCATCAGTCTTGTCAAGACGTGAGTAGGCCACATCAACAGTGCAAGAAGTGAAGGATTTGAAGCAAATGAAATTGGAATTTAAAATCTGTCCCCTTCCTTGGTCCTTATTTTCTACCTAGTATCCCCTCCATGCTCTCAGTGCATTCAGAACAACCGAACAAAACTGGTTTCCCTACCGTCCATGCGGTGGTGCTTCTTGAAGGGACAATGAACTTGACTGGAGATCCGCATCCATTGGTAGAACAGCTCATGATGGTTAAAAGAATGCAGGTAAGACCGAACAACAGAAGGGATCTTCTGTGTTACTGCATCTATCTCTTTCCGTTCACATCAGAAACATCTGACATGTAGCATGTAAGAGAGAGGCTGGAACCATTTGTCAGGACTGGACATCCCTGTAGCACTCTCTAGATATACGAATAAAGCAGCTTATTTATTTATTTATTTATTTAAAATGTCAGAAGCGACAGTTATAATGTATAGAAAAACCACAAACAAAGTTTAAAACTTGGCATTAAACTATATTTCCTTTGCCCAGAATCTGACCACTTGGAGTGCCTCGCTATTAGAAGGCACTCCATTGTGCATGTGGCAGGGCTCAGGTTGCATTGTAGTAAGCGGTCTGTAGTTTCCTCTTTCCACAGTCACATGTTGTGGACTCCACTTTGCAGCCCCATTTCTTAAGATTGGCTCTACATCTCGTAGTGCCAGAGCGCAGTCTGTTCAGCATCTTCCAAGTCGCTCAGTCTTCTGTTTGCCCAGGGGGAGTTTCTCAACTGGGCTCAACCACCGATGGAGGTTCCAGGTTTTAGCCTGCCACTTTTGGACTCTTGTTTGCTGAGGTGTTGCAGCGAGTATATCTGTAGATCTTAGGAAGCTGTTTCTTGATTTAAGTCGTTGGCTTGCTGGCTGATATCAGAACAGAGGGTGAGCCGGACATGTCAATGCATTGCTCCTTTCAATACAGACTGCTACTTTCCGATCGATGTCAGGTGTGCAAATCTGTTAAACACTATACTTTCTCCAGTAGTGTAGGGTGTAGACATCCTGTGATAATGCAGCATGTCTCATTAAAGCCATATCCACAGTTTTAACATGGTGAAATGTATTCCACACTGAGCATGCGTATTTAGCAGCAGAGTAGCAAAGCACAAGGGCAGATGTCGTCACTGTGTCTGGTTGTGATCCCCAGGTTGTGCCAGTCAACTTTCTTATGATATTTCTAGCACCCTTTTTGCTTGATATTCAAGTAGTGTGGGAATTGAAAGAGAAGAGATATGGTTATAATCCTTCTATTTAGTTCTAACTAAATTTGACTCAGTCAATACTTGGTTGGTGAGTCAACACATAGGCAAATCCAGTTAATTCAATTATTCTAATTTGGGCTAATAGAAGAATTAGGGATGTGTTGACTTTTCCTGGCCATTCGGAACTTGATGAACTTGATAAACCTGATGACTTATCTGCATAGCAGCCATCACAGTTGTTATTCCTTCAACACAGCAGGCAGGTTAGGAAGCAAAGTTTTCTTGTGGTATGTTTCTTATCTCTTTGTCCCCCACCCAGTAACATCCTTGTTAATATTGGCTAGTACAAATTGTCATTGGGAACCATTCCCAGCTATAGGTGTCTATGAAACTCAGCATGCTTTAAATAAGGGGTTGGGTGAGGAGGGGTTGGGAATGTTAGCTAAGCCCATGGGTGTGCTCTAGACCTCATGTTGTGCTGATCATGAAGGCTGGGCTGCACTGTGTATAAATTATCTGCCCTGAGAAAGGTCTGCTTTTACCATTTATCATTCTCTTCCCTGCTAGCACATCCCAACCCCACTTTTCATTCTGGAAATCTGGAAAGCATGCTTTGTGGGGCTGATTGAGTCTCCTGAAGGCACAGAGGAGCTGAAATGGACAGCCTTCACTTTCCTTAAGGTAAGGCATTCTTGGGCCTTTGTGCTGGGATAAAATAACCAGGTTCAGGTCCTTCATACCAGTTGAGTTTTCCAGGTTCGTGAACAGCAGCTAAGGAAGTGTGAAGAGTTGAATGGTTTCATATAATAATAATTTATTTATTTGACTTGTCATATGACCATTTCAAAATACAACACGAGTAAAAGACAAGGCAAAAAGGAGAGGACAGCAGCTGACCTATTTACAGTCAGAATCTTATTTTCCTGGCTCTTTTTTCAGGAAATGTGCTCTTTCCTTGATAGCTTTCAGAATAAGAAGCCTTAGTCTGATTATGGTGGATCTTTCTTGTCCTTGCAAGAAAAATGTCAGAAGATCATTTCATGTTGGGGGACCTGCAGTTGGATAATATTGGATGTAAATATCAGTATAGCAGTTCAGCATATGCTGGACAGTCAATTAAGAAATGTTCGATATTTTCCACTGTTTGTTCTCCCCATACGCAGAAAATCTCACTTCTTGGGAAGTTACAGTCAGGGCCGTAGCCAGAAAATTTTTTTGGGGAGGGTTGAAAATTTCGGAGGGGGGGGAGGTTTGAAAATTTAGGGGAGGGTTGAAAATTTGAGGAGGGGGTTGAAACCTGCCTCCGAGCTCACGCTGAAGCAAAGAGCACAGCAGGGGGCAGAGCAGCCTTCAATAGCCTGCTGTCAACCACCTCCACCAAGTCTGCCCTCCTTAATGAGAGCATTCAACACACACACCCCCAACTTGGTTGCTTCACTACATTGGCTATTGCTGCAAGTAATGACAGTGTAAATAAATTGTCAATATTTGCTTGAGATAGTGCTTACAGTTCTGGAGGAACTCTTAATTTTTTACATCTCATAGACTTAGCATGGGGATTTGGTTAACCAGTTAAAATTCATGAGTAAACCAGGTTTAAAAAAAAAATCTGAAACATTTCGGGGGGGGGGGTTGAACCCCTAAAACCACCCCCTCGCTACAGGCCTGGTTACAGTAATGCCCGGTTTGCATCATAATAACGAGTTGTTAAAGCCTAGCCCTAGTATATATTCTTCTTAAAGGCAACGGAAGTGGGATAGTCAGATAGTGTTCTAAATGAATATTTATTTTGTGATAAGCTAAAAACCTTGTGGCAGAAGACCTACCTATGCTTGTTAGGTCCAGTTGAGCATAGATGTACTTGTTTTGCCTTAGGTCCTAGATAGTTCAGAAATTGTAAAGGCAGGCTGATTTTAGCCAACTTATTATTTAGAGCCACTATCCATGATGACTTTTGGCTATGCTGGACTTGGTCCTTTAGACATAGGTTTTTAGCTTCTCACAGAAGAAATATTCATTTAGAAAACTATCTGACTATCCCATTTCCATTACCCTTAAGAAGGATATATACGAGGGCTAGGTTTGAACAACTTGGTATTATGATGCAAGCCAGGTGTTACTGTAACATCCCAAGAAGTGGTTTCATAGCCGTCATGGGTCCTCAGGAAGGAGAGCAGATTGCAGCTATGTAGTAGAAAAAATGTTTTGCCCTTTATCAGTCTCTAACATTGTACGATAGGATTGGGAAATAACTTTGTCTGAGATGTTAGAGTCTCACTGCCAGTCAGTGCAAACAATACTGAGCTTAGAGGCATAGACAGTTTCCTATGTTAACAGAGGGCCCTTCCACACAGCCCTATATCCCAGAATATCAAGGCAGAAAATCCCAAAATATCTGCTTTGAACTGGGTTATCTGAGTCCATGCTGCCACATATTCCAATTCAAAGCAGAAAATTTTGGATTTTATTCAGTTGTGTGGAAAGGCCAGAGAAAGTTGCTGTTGCCTCCTGACTTTGGCCCCTGAATAAAATCCCACATTAAATGCTTTGAACTACGATATATGGCAGTTTGGACTCAGGGCCCTTCCACACAGCCATATAACCCAGAATATCAAAGCAGAAGATCCCACAATATCTGCTTTGAACTGGTTTATCCTAGGGCCCTCCCACACAGCCCTATATCCCAGAATATCAAGGCAGAAAATCCCACAGTATCTGCTTTGAACTGGGTTATCTGAGTCCACATTCAGATAATGTAGGATTTCCTGCCTTGATATTCTGGGATAAAGGCCTTTGGGCCCTTCCACACAGCCATATAACCCAAAATATAAATATCTGATTTGAACTGGGTTATCTGAGTCCACACTGCCATATATTCCAGTTCAAAGCAGAAAATGTGGGATTTTATTCAGCAGTGAGGAAGGGGCCTTAGTGTAACTCTGTGACTCTGTGAAAACCGCATTGAGTCGCCGACTTAGGCTGAAAAATGCGGTATAGAAGTAAAGCAAATAAATTTTGTTAGAAATGCTGCTTCTACATTCAAGGTTGCTTCCCCTTTTCCCTTATGAATTTTATTCATTATTAAAGTATTTACCCTATTTATACCCCACCTTTCTCTACCCCAGTGGTTCTCAACCTAGGGTCCCCAGATGTTTTTGGCCTACAACTCCCAGAAATCCTAACAGCTGGTAAACTAGCTGGGATTTCTGGGAGTTGTAGGCCAAAAACATCTGGGTACCACAGGTTGAGAACCACTGCTCTACCCTGAAGGGGACTCAAGGAAGCTTACAACAGAGGCAATTATTCAATGCCTTAAAACACATACAATTCCAAAATATTAAAATGAAAAATAAGTTAAAATTAATACATATTAGAGATTTAAAAACATTCCATTTCATATTAAAATCAAGAACTGAAAAAGTGACTTCAAGAAGAATAGAAATTAAGAATGTTTCTTCTTGAGAGATAATCTCAGTATGTGGTGGCTTCAAGGCTTCAACCAGAAATCAGAGTATAGGTATTCTCGAAATGAGCACCCTCTGCCTTTGTGTTTTAACACAGAATGCATTGACTAGAAGTATAGCAGCAACTCCTACACTTGGCAGGCTATATAATATTTCTGGATTGGCCGGTGTGGATATACAGGATTGCTATTTATATACAAGGCTTTGTATTGTTGTCTTGTTACCAGAGCAGTGCCTTCATCCTGTTGTATTCCAGTCCCCTTGGAACTTTGGTTTGGAAAACACATTGCTAATCTAGATCAGGTGTCACTGTCTCTGAACCAGTCCTAACACAATACAGCTGCATATTTTGGAGATCAGAAACTTGCTGTAAAATAAAAAAAGCAGATTATTTCAAGGCCTTGCAGGATCTATGTGAGAGGCCTTTCCCACACACTGTGGCCTGACCCTTTCTTTAGTTAACTTTTATAGCTGTGACTTCTTTCTTTGGTTCAATACATGTGGTCAGATATACAAGGTGCCCTGTGTAATGCACTACAATTGTTGTGATCTGGAATATATAAAATAATCTTCCTAAGATGTTCTTGCTTTCTGTCTTTCTGAACTGTTGTTTTTGGTACAGCCTGGAGGAGTCTCTCCATTTAGCTGTATAATTTTTTCGCTCTGTGTAAACATAAGCCAGATGGCTTCTGCCTTTCTTCTCCCTGGCTTCTCGGTAAACATTCTCTGACGCTGCTAGATTCCCCACAAGAGACTCAACAAATTGCAACTTAGCATTCCCTGCCTGCTCAAGTAAATCTTAACTGCAGCTCAAGTACATTGTGTAATTGATCATCCACGGAGAGAGGAATAAATTAAGAAATAAGAAAGGGACCAATAGACATGCATCAGCATACATACACACGCGTGCATCCTGGATTATTAAGTTGGAATGTTCTAGAACAAAACAAAAGATGTAAGAAACAGCCGCCAGAATGTATTGCCTCATGGGAACATCAGGTTCAAGCTACAGACCTCTTATTTTTGCTTTTGTTTTGTTTTTTCTTCATAATTTGGTGTACAGAGGGCTTTAGAACTCTTTATCTTTGGAAAGATTACACCAAGAGGAACAGTTGATACCACCTAATCTGTTTCATAATCAAATAGAGATTTGAAACCTTAGCTGTCGCAACTTCACATCCCATATTTCCTATCACATTAACACCTGTTTTCATTAGATAATTGAAAAGGTTAGTTTCCCTACGTGAGTGTGCTGTGAATGCGCACTAATGGTACTTCTGCGCATGCGCAGCATCGCTCCGGAATCTTCAGTTAAGATTTAAAAGAATCGGCGGTTGGCCCCGCGCACACTCCCCAGTACATTATAAATAGCCCGCGGCTGGTCAACCGCCTCCAGATCTCTTCATCCGCGCTAATAAGCAGCAGCTCGGAATTTTTCTCTCTCTAGCATTGGTTTTTTTTACTAGTAATATGGCTAGTACCAAAGGATTTAAGCGTTGCTCTGCATGCCAGGGCAACTTTCCCGATAACGATGCACATTCCCTGTGCATCGCTTGCCTGGGTGAAGGACATTTAACACAGGCATGCTCCATCTGCCAGTCCTTCGCCCCTAAAACCCGGAAAAATAGGGAGATTCGCTTGAAAGCTGCCCTTTATGAACGGGCTCTTCTCCCCGATATGCAACAACACAAAGAAAAACCCTTACCTGACATGGCGATCCTGCATGCGGCGCTGAAGAAGCCTAAGGCGAAGAAGGCTATTCAGGCCAAGGCGGCCTCGACGAGACCCCCAAAAACGGCTGGAACCGAGGCCGCGCCTTCTCTGTTGGTCTCTCCCCTTGAAAGGGCAATAGAGACCCCTCCACATGGCTGCATTGCCGGAACGGAGCCGGCGCCGACCTCCGCTCGCCCCGTGCGAGCTCAGGAGGAAAATGAAACTGAAAGGGACTCGACGACTAAGGCACGCCCCGCGCGTGCGCAAGAGGAAAACATGACGCCCCCGATGCCGACGCTCTCGGCGCCGGCTCCTCCTGCAGCATCAGCTGTTAGCTTAGGGGAGGAGCCAGCACGGGCGTCCTTAGCAACGCTTCCCTCGACATCGGGGAAGGCCGTTGCTGCAGCCCTGACGCGGCGTCGGGCGCGCGCTCACATAATAAGAAGCGAAGGCGCCGGGATTCGAGCTCCAGCGACTCCTCCTCCTCTTCTTCTACTTCTTGCT